GAAAGATCATGGAAAAAATTATTAAAGAATCCATCAACAACAGGCTAACATAAGGGGTCATTCTGAGAGGCAGCCAACATGGCTTTGTTACAGGTAGGTCATGCCTGACTGACATCATCTCCTTCTATGATCAGGTGACACGTCACCTGAACAGGGGAGGAAAAGTTGATGTAATTTACTTGGATTTCAAAAACGCCTTTGACTTGGTCTCCCATGATGTTCGCATGACAAAATTGGGCAACTGCAGCCATGACAACTTCACAGTCTAATGACTGGGGAACTGGCTCCATGGCTGGACCCAGAGAGTGATAGTCGATGGAACTGAGTCAACAGTGGCTTCCCTCAGGGTTCAGTACTTGGACCAGTACTCGTTAACAAATTCATAAATGACCTGGATTTGGGTGTCAGAAGCAGACTAGCTAAGTTTGTAGATGATACCACATTATGGGGAAGTGCAATCACACTAGAAAATAGGCTGGGGAGTCAGGCCAACTTGGAGAGTCTTGCGAAGTAGACAGATAAAAACCTGATGACTTTCAACATAAAGAAATGCAAGGTGCTCCACCTTGGGAGAAAGAATCCACATCATACCTATAGGCTCGGCAGTGCTACACCACTTAGCACTATGACCATGGGCAACTGGTGCCTCCTGGCTCTGGGGGTCCCCCAGTGGCCGATTGTCGACCCCAGAAGTGCCAGTGGCAAACTGGAAGTGCCACCAGAAAAAATGGAAGTGCCACTGGTGCTTCTCACGGGGGGCACCAGCAGGTGCTCCCCACTCCCTGGCTGGTGAGAGCCAATTTCAGGTGGAGCACGTGTCCCCCTGTAATTCTCCCTACACGTCACCTATGACTACGACCAAAAGCAACTCGGAGGTCATGATTGACCACAAGATGAATATGAGCTACCATGTGATGCCACAGCCAGCAAAGCAAATAAAACCCTGGCATGCATCTACTGATGCATCTCAAGCAAGATCCAAGATGTCATCCTCCCACTTTATTCAGTCTTGGTGAGGCCACAGCTGAAGTATTGCAGCCAGTTCTGGGTTTCACACTTTAGAAAGGATGTGGAGAAGCTTGAGAGTGCAGAGGAAAGCCACATACATGATCAAAGGTCAAGAAAGCAGGTCTTATGAGGAGAGGCTGAGAGGCATGGGACTCTTCAGCTTGGAAAAGCGTAGGCTCAGGGGGGACTTGGTGGCAGCCTTTAAGTATATCAGGGGTGTGCATCAGGAACTGGGAGAATATCTGTTCACTAGGGCACCCCAAGGGAAGACAAGGTCTAACAGTCACAAATTGCTGGAAGACCATTTTAGACTGAACATAAGGAAAAACTTCTTTACTGTCCAAGTCTTCTGAGTCTGGAATAGACTCCCTGCAGAAGTGGTGCAAGCACCTACTCTGGATACGTTCAAGAAGCATCTGGATGATGAATCTGACCCCAGCTGATTTCCTGCCCTTTGGGCAGGGGGCTGGACCCAATGATCTCATGAAGTCCCTTCCAGCCCTAATGTCTATGAAATCTATGAAATGTAAGAATACTTCACATGGCTTATGTGACCAGGGGCATGCTAGAATCAACGGGCTGCCCTTTCATTAGATAATGCAAAGAGACATTAGGGTCAAGTGTGTACCAGCAACCTGTCTTTCATATTAAAAGAAATTTGGTATCTGGAGTGAATGGGAGGAAAGGTCATGGAAGAACAGAGTATCGATCTTCACAAGGGCTCTGTATGAAGGCCTCCTTCAACAATGAGCTTGGCACCTTCTACGACCCACTTGACAGCCCACCGACCTTGGCAGGACTCTGAAGGTGTAGAAGTCTGCTTAGTCAGAGCTGATCAAAGGAACAAAGCCTGACTCACATTTAAGACAGATTTTCCCTGTGTCTTTATACCACCCTTAAAAGACAAGAAAACTAACATGAGGGCTACAGGCTATAATGACAGCCACTGGTCTAGCCATCTTAAGAATTTTTTTTTTTGGAAAATCCATGCATTATTTCTTTTTATATATGTTTATATCTTGGGAAGGAATTACTTTTAGCAAAATATTAGGTGCCTAGAACTTAGGAGAAAACGAGCTTCTCCAAATAACTGTGAAGAAAATCCCTGATCCAAATTTAAAATGGGAACACACATCCAATTACAGTCATTCATATCCACAGATCAGTAAACTGACATTGTCTTTTATATGGTAAAATCCTAGTTTTTAGTTTCCTAAAGATTATAAATAAAAGTGAGGAATCCACTTAAAAAGCATTATAAATACCTTGATTGTACCATCTTTAAAAATAAAAAGGTGCCTTAAAATTATCAAGATAAAGACACAAACAATTTAAAGCCTGAGTTAGGGCTACCATAGAGTGGTACAAGGTAATGAAAGCAAAGGACATAGAGGAGAAATAGAAAGTGCTGTAAAATATATTAACTTACGCCCAAGGGGCTACATGCACCATGTAGCAATAAATTCACTATGAGGAGAAAGGGATGAACAAGGAAGTTCAAAAAGTAATCAAGACAAAGAGAAAGGCATATAGGATGTGAGATATAAAACATCAGGGGGCATTTCCTCTGCTGGTGTGAACTGACATAGATCACTTGACTTCAGTGGAGCTATGCTGATTTGAGAAGCTCTCCCTAAATCTAGAGGAGGAAAAGAAAAAAGGATTGAATTAAGTGAAGGGTATTGAAACTGATAGGGAAATGAAGAGGTGGGGCAGAAAAGGAAAATACCAGAAATGTTAAAGACAGGGCTGTACAATTTCAAAGGGGCCAGAAGCCACATTCTCCCCACCGGGCTGCTCTAGCAGGGGCCATGCACCCTCCAGGTGTGAACACAGGTGGGTGAGCACTTAACCACTGTGTGAGACTGATGATCCCCAGCCCCGCTGTACTGTACGCATGCCCACACATGGTCAGGCACTTGCCTGTGCAGCACAGCATCCAACCTCCCCTGCGGAGTCTACAATGCTGCAGTGATGCATAGCTATATAGAAGGACTGCTTCTCTTTCTGCATCAGTTAAACAACTAGCATAACTTCAGTGCAGTGCCTCTCAATTTGTATTCAGGGTAAAACACAGGAGAATCAAACCCACAAAAATGTTAAGTTGCCCTGTGATCACAAAGAGCTGAGGCAGAATTTGGAGTCAGCAATCCTAGGACTCTGCTGAACATGTGTCAAAATAGGTAGTAAACTAAAGATACAGAAGTACTTGCTTTCCTTGGAAAACAACACAGTATCCAAATACTGGATCCTTCCCTACTGGCAATGAAGCTTATGGCAGTCACATCAGGTAAGGCAACAACATACACTATCTTTTCACCCCAACATAATGGATCTATTCCAATTTTATTTAAAAAAGGAACCTAATTTTTGGGTTGTTAATGAAACATGCTGATCAGTGAATATTACCATTACTCAAATGAGGAGAAGAAATCATTAATACAAATCAAGATCATTAACCATAAACAGGAAGATATCTACTGAATCTAGGAAAGTGTGAAGTAATGAATCTGCCCTCTATCTACAGAGGAGAGGTTTTGTGGCATGGCAGCCCACAGATAACTTCTGGTGACTGTAGCATTTAATCAATACATGCTATTTCTTATTCCAGGAAGTAGAATAGAAAAGTTTGAGGGAAAAGCAGCATTGTCTTCTTTGAAAGATGGCACAGATCATATGCCTTAATTCTTATGTTTACAAATCTAGGCATGTTATTAAAGTGACATACCCTATGCTTGTATTTATATTAAAATGGATTTATTTTAAGATTTGCCCACATGGAACTGTGAGTGCATGTACAAATTTTAAAGACAGCATATAAATAAGAACCAACTAAAAATGACCAAAAGAATCCCATTGGCTTCAATGGAAAACGGACTGGGTTTCAAATGGAAACTATGAAATATTCTCCCAATCCTACATAAAAAGATTGAGAACTTTGTTAGGTCTTCCTTGAATTCAGACAATGCTATCACCAAAATACTCCAGTTAGTTTGTGTGTGCAGTATATTGAGTGCTGATGCCAGCAGCAGAACCCAGATCATTTGTAGGCAGGTAGCCTATTTAGGGTATGGACAAACATACATTTGAAACTGCTCCAAAAGGAGAAGGACTCTTGCTCTGAACCATGCAGCATCTGCTATGTTCCCAAGACTGTATTCAGAGGTGCTGAGTACACAGGGGCACGAGGGCCTTGGCCCCCCTTGGGAAGAGGGCTGTCACCTGAAATGCATAAAACTTTCCACATGTCCATCATCTTAGCCCTCTGCCTCCCTGGCAAAAATACAAGGTGGCGCCTATGGTTGTATGTGCTCCAACTTTAACCCTATATGAAGCAAGGTTCAAGTTAGACCAGTTTTCTTACATTTGTAGCATTCCTGACTTGTCCATATATAACTGTTAGAGCTCAGCAGATACTGTGCATTCTAGATCTGTCATTCCCTTTTTCAAATGTTCCCCTTTTGAAACGATGCCAAATGTACATTTGTCCATTCCCTTAGACTTCAGTAGGTTGGCTCATTTAAGAACTGCTGCTCAGTAGCTTGCTGCTGCTTTTACTTCAAAAGGCACCGCTTCTCCACTCAGCTGGAATACATCACCAGTCTCATAGAGCTGATTGGAGAAATGCCCTTTGAAGTAAAAGTTGCAAAGCAAACAATTGGAATATACAGGTGGTATTGTGCTATATATTCACCCCTAGTTCATCTGTAAAACCTCATATTTGCTTGGGAGGTAAGGAACATAACCCTGCAGAACCTGGGTTCTTTTGTAACTTTGCCCTTGGACACCCCACTACTTACCTCTTTTCATGATGTCTCTGACATCCATTGGCCTATTCACTATGTTTTAGTTCTGTTTCCAACTCTGCATTTCTATAACCTAGCAGTATTCCTTAAAAAATAAAGATACGAAACTACACCTCGATTATTTCTGTCACATTGTTTTAGATTTACAGAGCTGACTTAATTAAGGTATATCCCAGTGAAGCTCACCAGACTGAGTCTTTTGTAAGTTTGGTGTCCACTATTCCTTCTTCATCCATGAAGATATCCAGTTGTAAATTGGCATTGTTATCATGGGCAGATGAATAATTGGTAATAACTCTTGCTGGTATACCTAAGCATCTTAAAACTATGGAAAACGAGAAAAGAAATTAAAAGGACAACATGAGGCAGTGATACATATGTGGAAGGAGTGGATAAGGAGATAAAAAAAAAAAATTTTAAAAAATCAAAGCAAAGTCAACACAATTCCTCCAGTCTGAGAAGATACTATAAAAGTAATGCTTGGCTTCCCCAAAATTAAGAAATAACAGAGCTAATCACTGAGTTTCTTTGCAATGATAAACTTTGAAATGACGGGAAACTTCATTAGAAGGGCAACCATTAGAAGATTTCTAAATTTTTAGATAATCTGCAATTTTATAGTTTTCCCTCAGAAGGTACACAGAGAAAACAAAGCATAACAGAGATGAATTAATACTGATTAATAAAACTGAATGATTTACAAGTGAAATGCCTGGTTTAGAGAGTTTAAATAAGATGAATTACACAAATCGTAACTAAGAATTTACAATTAAATTGAATAGCACTTTGGACTTCTGTTTCACCATATGTCAGAGAATCTCAAAGTAGAAGAAACACAGTCAATCTCAGAACTGCCCACTGAAGCATATTTACAGATGGAAAAAGTAATGAAATAAAGAAACTACAGCTCTGGCTGAAGCACTGTGGTGACTCATGGGAGATGGAGTCTGGCTGCACACTGTAGCCCAGAAACAGAGTTGGGAGCATAAGATACAAAAATACAATTTCCATGACTTGAGACTCACTAGCAGCACTTCTGTATTAATGTTTTTGGCTTTCTTTTCACAAAATGCTTTAAAATGGTTTGGTTCTGACGAGAACCAATTTTCCACAAACAGCAGATACTTTTTTGGGGAGGGGAGGGGTGGGGTGGTGGGGTAGAAATGTTTAACTGAAAATCCAATTTTTAGCTGAAAAATTGTTTTGATGGAAATTATTTTTTTTACCAGCATCACATGACTAGTGTTTTTGTGCCTGCATTAGTATCACTACTGTATCTCTCAATAAAAAGTATCACCACATATTCATTTTCAGTTGCTTGATGACACATTACGTGGATGCATCCACAGCCATATGTACCTATTGATTAAACTTAATTCAGATGCCCTCCCAGGCTTCCAGTACATGAGCTATCACAACTCATTGAAAATAATTCATCTGACAATTTCAAGATTAATGACTTAGCTCATTTTTTTCCAGAACGTTTTAGCATTTTTTTAACAGGTGATTGTCCAGAATACTCAATATAGTAACCTTGGAAAGCTGGACTGGTAGCAGTAATAGACTAGACAAGCTTTGAATGTCTCAATACAAAACTCTGAGCAAATGTTTTAGTTGACTAAGCCTTCCCCCATTATTTTGATACTAAATTGAAGTAGCCCCTTTTCACTGGCTCCCTTAGGTCTGTGTGCATGAATTGCCTACCACAAGTTAAGAGGAGATGGGGCTTTGCCACACATCAGCTATTTCATGGTAACTGCCCATATTCATATACAATGAAAGAAAGCTAGGCTATTGTGGTTTAGCTTTTATCTGCTGTGGGTTAAGAGTGGGCACATGGCCAGTTTTTACACAGTCGCTGATGCACAGTAAATCCCTCACAATAAGTTGTTCAGCTGTTTATACCTTTAGCAGCCACCACAGGAAGCAGTATATACTAGGTACACCACAGCACAACATTTTCATTTCCTAATGGTCAACTTTTGGGGCACGTCTGCATCATAAACTTTCTGTGCCCACCACCAGCCTGCTCAAAACCACTATGCTGGTTCAGTGAGCGCACTTTCAAAAGGGAGTCACATTTCTGTAGCATGGCATGTAGGCTACTTGGTTCTGTCTCTTGGTAGTGTCACCATAATAAGTCTGTCTGCAGAGCCTCATGAACGCTGTTATATCACTCTCCAATTGGGAGGCAAGGTGTGGTAAACTTGCAGGGTAGACCTGCCATTTTGTTCTTCATTCTGCCTGGCAGTGATATGCACTTGGTCAAGAGCTGAAACTCAGGATGCCAGTGACGAGTTCAGCCATACAGAGAGAGCACATGAACCCACCATACAGGCAAGTCGCACACTGGAAAATATACAATTCAGAATAATCAGGGGAGAAGCAGCAGCATAACTAGGGTGGGGCAAGAGAGGCACCTACCCTGGGTGCCAGATAAGAAGGGATGCAGACAGCTGCCCCTTGACCAATGAAACTGCCTCCTTCCCCACCCTGGCAGAGCACCAGATACATAGGGGCAAGGAGCTCCCCCTCCCCACAGGGGTAGGCAATTATTTCAGCCTGCAGGCCACATAGGGAGTTTCGGGGAGCAGGCATGGGCTGGGTCGGCACTCCCACTCCCCCACACGCAACTGCTCACCAAACCTTCCTATGCAGGATGGGGTCATGGGTCGGTGAGGAGCTGTTGTGGGGGTGGGCAGGCAGGCAGCAGCTTCAGCAGGGCCACCACCAGCACTCCAGGCTACCCTTTTACCCCAGCATCTACACATGCATTGCTGTCCACTAAAGAACTCTGCCACAAGATAGTACTTGTATTTAAACGTACTAACTTGTGTTGGAGTTTATTAATTTCCTGTGACCTAATAGGGCTACACATGTAGATATTGAGACTTTACTGCAGAACTAATTAGACAGCTATACAGAAAACATCTTATGTAGATGCATCCAAGTTGTACTATATAGGTAGGTACAAAAGTGCTGCTGCTTAAAACTGTGTTTATGAACTACCTGTGCTAAAACTTGCAGCAGTTTCCAAAAAGGCAACAATTTAGTTCTGAATGAGCTAAATCTATGGCTGCCCACAGTGATTTGTCTGTATGCAAATTACTAAAGGCATGTTTATTTCAAAGTCGGTGTTCTCATATTTGTTCCTCACTTCCATGTGCTCAGGGAGAACAGAGTCTGATAGTAAGGGTGGGGTGGGGGAGAAAGGGCTACCGGGGGAAGAAGTTGCGGAGGCAGAAAGCAAGGGGGCTACCTGATCCTCCAGATTTATTTTCCCTGCTGTAGCTGTGGGAGGGGGACAAATTCAAGACAAACCTTCAATAATGAGATTATATGCCTGGAAATTTATACCAATTTTATACATATTCCATATATAAAATATAATATTGGGGAGTCATCTAATATTCAGGGTTGTCTTGGATTCAAATAAATACAGTAATTTATTTTACTTACATGTGTTGAAGACACCAGCAAAGACCCAGCACTGACCATATCGCACTGGGGATGCAGAACTATGATATTCCAGAAGAATGTCTACACTTCCAGTCCAAGATGATGGTGGAACACCATATGCATAAACATTGTCCCAAGAGCCAGAAAGTACACCCTCGTCATCTCTAGCATTGATCTAGAAGGGAGGAAAAAAATCTATGTTGGGAGATCTGTGGCATTTTCTCACATACAGGATGCCCCAGAATAAAGTATGCACTTTGCTTTTGAAAGTCAGAATGAAGAAAAAAAAGATCTTCCCTTGAAGTAAGTAATGGAACAACAGTAGCTAGGGAGCAACACCTGCTTATTGTTCTGCTCTTTGCTAGTCAAATGCAGTGTTTACTTCCACTTTTGTCCTGTAAGAGCAGAAACTGGTCTAACCATATTTCCTGCATGTAATGCATGCTGAAATTTCTAGCAGCTGCCTTTTAGAAAATGATGTGGGCGTTGTCTATGAGAAAACATGGTATATTATACCTGTCAGGTTTGAAAATAGAGGGTTCTTTAGCCTATCTGCTAAAAGTGTAACAAGATCCAGTGGCAGAAGTTGAAAATAGACAAACTGGGCATGTCTACACATGCATTAATGTGCTGTTGTTACAGTGCATCAAGTTTACTCGATGTGCAGTAACTGGGCTACTGCACAGAAGCGCTGGCACATAGTATTTTAGTGACCAGCTGTAATTTTGATGTGTGTGTGCACATGCATGTGTGTGTGTGTGTGCACGCATGCGTGCGTGTGCATCTCCTAACCAATCATTTGCAAGAACATAGAATATTCATGTTTAACAACTCTATTTTCTAGCTGTGGTTTCAGACTCCATGCAGGGGTCACCTTCAAAAGAAGCTCCTGGAGATTTGTCCTCTTCCAAAAAAGGAGAGAAATCATCAATCTGTAAATTGTATATTTTCAAAAAAAAATAGGGTTGAAGTCTAATAAAAACACATGTTGGCCACTCACTATTCATAAACGTGCTCATTGGGATATGAATAATCACCAACTATGAATCAGAGAAATGTTGGTCTTGAATCCCCTCTAACTTCCTGTATTAAAGCAATTTCAGTGCAATTATTCCTGGCTTACACTGGTGTGATACATTGGACCACTGGTCACATCAACACACGTGCTTAACTGTGAAGTAAACTAATTAACTGCGGAGTAAAGCATCACCATCTACACATGTGACACTAGCAGGCCACAGTAACTAATTTACACTGCCGTAAGATAGTGCCATTGGGGACAGTGTAATTAACTGCAGTTAAACACACATGTAGACGCTGACCACAAGCACAAATTGCTTCCGGTCAGCCCAGGCAGCAGAAGCCCAGTCTCCTGCCTGCCACTTATGCACACAGCTCTGCACTTTCAGCACCATCATGCCCCAGCCAGCCCCTCCACTACCTGATGCCCCATGCCCTCTGCCTGCCCAGGCCTGCTCTACCTTGGCTTATATTGCTGCTATTTGAGGCACATGTGTACAGGCTGTGCCCAGGTGTAATTTCCTTTGGCTCACACTGCTCCAGAATTTATTGCTTTAAATTAATTGCACATGTACATGCACCTACTGTTATTTTTAAAGTTGAATCCGTTTTCATGGAAAACAAAAAGAAATTTGCTGTGTTAAGTTTCCTCCAGGTAAGTGTACACAAACTACTGAGTTTTGCTGACTAATGACTAAATTGATAGCCATTAATGACCAATACATTTCCTACCAGTAATTTGAACCAAATCAGTTGAGACTGTGGAAAAAAACCCTTATTCACTATGTAGCCTTTAATTATGTTAATGCTGAGCTGCTATACTCTTGCCAAATAAATTATAATTCTCATTTAAAATCTTTTGGCTGGATTAACTACTGTTTTATAATTAGAAAATTGACCTTTTGTGAACTTTGGGATTGAATAGAGATAAGTGTACGGTGACAGAACCAAAGGGTTCAGAGTTGCACCCATCCAGCAACTGTGGGAGAAGTGCCAGGGAAAGAGGCATTTCAAGGACAGTACAGTATTTCAATCTTTACTCTGTGCTACAACCAGTCCTCAGAAGGCTATAGTGTGACTGTTAAAATGCAGCCTGGGGGAGAACAGATGGAGACGGGAAAGGTGAGACAAAGAGAAGGTGAAGAGTTGCTCTGTATGGAAAGGCACCCTCAGAAGGATTCTAAAGAAGGGGCTACAGCAACGCCTTAACAGGGTCCAGAGTGTGCGCCTGTACAGACAACCTCTGATCTACTGGACGATGCCAAAATCAAGCTTTATGATCTTCACCCTTGGATAGAATTGCCAACACCCTGAAACTGTGCTTATCTACTTATAACATTAATTATCATTACAGTCAATTAAAGATCAAAGAAATTGAGGTGCAGTTATGTTAAGTGGCTTTCCTGAGGGCAAAAACATGGTGGCTTAAATTTACAAAGAATCTGAGCACCACTATTCTAACGGCCATTTTTGGCTGTCCGGCCTTTAGATCTTTAAACTCCTGCTCAACTCGTGTCTAATTTTGAAGGTGCTCCCAAGTTTTCACACTAATGTACTCAAAACCCCTCAGTCTCAACTGTACTGAGCCCTTCATTGCCTAGGCCTCTGCCTGTGTCATCTATAGATCCTGATCTAGTAGCTGTTCTCAGAGAATACCTACAGTATCAGGCCCCACACAAAACCTGGTGGCCAGGGACGGTTTGGTTGCCTCCCTTCATCCAGGAACCAAATGATTAAGAGAACTCATCTGGGAAGTGGGAGACCCAGGTTCAATTTGCTTCCCCACCTAAGAAGATTTAAATCTACATTTCTCACCTCTCAGAAGAGAGCTATCAATCAGTATCTCTTGGTGAAGAGATTCTACTTTGTATGGGATAGTTAACAGTTGTTAGATTAAAAATTAAAAAAGGAAGAGAATGCCTTAAACACTAGGAAAATCTCATGCTCGCTCCTGTATACTCTCCCTTGCTTTCTGGCTTATTTAATATTTACCTATTCTATGTAAAGTATGGTAGCTTTAACTGAAGGAACTGAAAATGTCCCTATTTCAGAATACCACAGAGCCTGGTGATTAAGGCAATCTTGTAGAACAGAGGTTCTCAAACTCTGGTCAGCAGACCACCACTGGCCCGCAAGCTCCATTCAGGTGGTCCACAGAAAGGCTGCAGAAAAATTGAGAATATCTGTATTAAAATATGAATTGTGTGCTTTGATTTGTAGAACAAAAAAAGTTTATTAAGTGGTCTGCTGAGACCCTCAGCAATTTTCAAGTGGTCCACGAAAAAAAGAAGTTTGAGAACCACTGTTCTAGGAGATAGAAGATATGCATTCAAATCCCAACAAGCAGATGAGAGACTAGTATCCAAGTCTCCCGCATCCTGTGCAAGTGCTCTAATTAGTGAGCTATTACATAGAAAGAAAGGTCACTCCTCCACACCTGGACATTATGAAGACTAACCCCCTGCTTGGTTTTCGAAAGAAACTGCTTAAGCATTTAACAATAAAGTTTTGGCATTGGCACCTCATTCCTGGAGAGGTCTGGAATCCAAGATCCAGCCCTCTCCTCAGCTTTTATTTATGTCAGTCTTCCAACTCAGCACAGTGCCTTTGGGGATCCCATCTTTAGGTGCCTAACTTCCCCATGCATTTTGTGAAAAACCCATGTGCCTACTTTGTATGTTATGAATTCCACTAGGCAGCTAAGCTCCCAAAAGGTAGATGCTGCAATGTTTAGCCTCACACCCCTAACTTCTCTTGGTGGATCCATCTCTGTACCAATGAAAAGCTAGAACTAACATCTCTATCTCCTCACCCTAACCAACATCTTGTTTTGCCTCTCATTAGAAGGACTGGCTTTATCAATTACTTCACCTGCTAGAATGCCCACCATACCAAAATGTCCAATGTCTGAAAGTTTGAGACAATATGAGAAGCCAACACTAAGACCTGGGCTTTTGTGGAGTGAGATATAATGGAAGACTCTAGAATTCAACATATGCATGGATGGAACAAGATGGGTTTCAACAGAACATTAACAATGCAGCACCGTGGGGCAGATCAGTGAGATCCAAAGTGGTCGTTCAAGATCACTTTTAAAGGAAGTGACTCTTCTGATACATTTCAGGTGCTTCTTGCATACCATTGCAGATGCAACTCGACTTATTTTGACTGGATTGCTCCGCCCAGAGAGATCCAATTTTGCTCTGTCCATAATGGTCAGGCAAGCATCCAGAAGGCCCTCTTCAAACTAGAAGAGAAAAACACACAGGCTTCTTCAGTTCTTACTCTGGAAAGCAAATGAGAAGTTATCACCCCTCCCCATAACACTGATCATAATAAAGTTTGACGTGGAATTTATAATATCATTTTTCTTGAATATTAATTACCACGGTTAATAAAAAGTGCAAGAAAAAAACAGTCTTTCAATCCATCCTGGTCTGGACACCTGAAGGGGAGAGCAACAAATCCATTTTTTACAGCACAAAAAATTAATGTGACTAAATATATATATATATAATATGAAGGTATAACAACTACAAGAATTTAGTCTATTCAATAAGCCCTCACTGTCTTTCACAGAGCCCAGACTCATTAATATTAGAGGACCTTTCTGACATTCATATTGCAGTGCTCAAAACTGAGCAACTGATGGGCTGCCAAAGTTAGGTCAAAGTCACCATACCTCAAAAAATAGTAATTTTGAACATGTATTTAGAATAAAGTGGCAATTAGCTACATCATATTGATTAGCTCTGGCTTTTGAGCTTAGGACTTAAAAAAATACCAGTGACCTAAAGCAGTCATCTTAAAATGAAAGTCAAAAATTCAACTTCTGGGTTCCAGAAATAACAAGGACAGGAAGGATTGGAGGGCAGAGGTGCCTAAATGGACTAGAATCCATCATCAAAGAACTTGTCCCATGATGTAGTTCAATTTGTTTAGGAGAAATTGCATAGCAGCGGCAAAGATCACTGTCCTCTGGGAAAGAACAGAGGACAGAAAAAAATGACCTAAAAAATTATCTTCTATATTCACTGAAAACATAAACATCGAAAGTATATTTATATCATAGGCTGGGATTGAAACAATACGATCTTCTCCCTCTTTCTTGGCTTTCCATGACAGCAACAGGAATACTCTATAGCTTATGCATGCTGCAAGTATTTATTAAAGACAGATTATGCTATTAGAAAGTTTTGTTTTCTAATAGGTCAAATACAGAAAAACTTGTCTGTATTATGTCACTGACAAACTATGGTAAGATACATTGTTGCATTCTAATGCAAAACCATCCAAAATAGCATCCATATATCATCATTTATCTCCTCAGCTCTGGCAGCCATAACTGTATTAATTTGATTTCTTTGGGACTTGCAGTGCAAAATTGAATTCTCAATGGGGGCCCACATGTCTCAAGGGAGCCCCTTCCAGCATCCTATCCTCCATACAAAATGAAGCATTTGCCTAGGAAATATCAATACCACTGGTACATCTTGTAAATAATTCTGGTAGCTCTTTAGGGACACTCCCTTCAAAACATGAGCCTCCCAACTGACTGTGTAAACCCCTTAACTCAGATCTGCTGGCATCAGTCCCATCTGTCACCAGTTACTCTGCTGCTGGCTGGATCCAATGACTTGTCACTTTCACCGTCATCAGACATCTATTTTCCTCACATCAAGTCATCACCAGTATCAAAGACCCAAGTTAGATCAATAAGAAGTGTACTCTGCCCTAAACCCTTGTCATCTACCATTTATAAGATGTTCATTTTAATGCTGCTGCCTGAGAACTTAGTCTGGCTGTCATAAATATTTAGTCATAAGTTTAATCAGGGGTGTCAAACTCATTTGGCCCTGTGGGCTTAGCTGGACCACAAGACTTTCTCTGGGCTGGCTAACTTGCAAGCAGGAACAGTGGCAGTGTTGATCCCCACAGAGGCTGGAGCTGCTGTTTCAGTGTGGCTCCCCAACCCAGGGATTTAATGCCAATGTCGCTCAACCTCCCAGTCTCCTCCTCCCAATTGTCTCTTGCCACCAGTTTTAATCACCAGGGTCAGCTAAAAACCCTGATGTTGGTGGCAGGTAAAGGGGGAGGGGGTAGGGACACAGTATTAACTCCCTGAATTCCAAAACCCACCAGAAACACCAGGTCCAGCATCTGCAGGGATTAACACCACTACTGCAGGGACTCCAGCAGCCCTGGTGATGAGTGGGTGACCAACGCAGCCCACAGAGGTGGGTGGTCAAGCCTACAAGAAGCCCTCTGGGCTGGATGGCCCACCTCCAGCCTGTGAGCTGCATGTTTGACACCCCTTAGGCATATATATGCATATTTCTGTGTTACACACACACAGTATAAAAGAGCATATATATTATATACAATGAGGCATGTAGAAATAACTATCCTAGAGATTTATTTTGGCTTTAAAGATCCACCATTTGACAAAGTGAGTGCAACTCAGTTAAAACCTGAAGAGTTACAAAAAGTTAAAATCTGATGAACCAACAAATATGGTTGCCTGGTTCTGTTGTGGTGATTCACTGCAGCTATGAACCCAGGTAAAATGTGGCTTAATCCAGTCCTAGATTTCTTCTTCCAGGACAGTTCTTCTCAAACATTATAACAAGCTCTGCACCAGGTTTTCAGTCCCTAAATTAAACTGCTATCTAGGTGGACCTGAAGGAAAACACTGGATATGAACATCTCTAATATTTAGGAATCAGGAGGCTGCTTCTGCATTGCTAAAACACTGCTAAAGTGATCAGAGAAACCAATTAATTTGGCTGATAGAGAGAAAAAAGCAGGACTGAGACAGACTAGGATCCAAATAGATATCTACTCATGGCTTAGAATCTTTGGCAGAGGTCCTGTTGGCACACAAACATGGAAGTGAATGATCATATCAGAATTTTCTACTCATTTCACCCGGGTCCCACCTGTATTTCACTTATTTTGGAAAGGGAGGGTGGCTGCAAAAAGTTTTAAAAAGGGGGTGAGGAGAAATGGAGGCTAGAAATCAGACTCTCCAGGTTTTACTAAAGAGAAAAAAGAGGAAAAAAAATTAAAGCATGGGACAGAATGTGGAATGTCCCAAACATCCTTGGGCAGAAAGTCAGCCCACACACTTCTCACAGAGAAATCAATGTTTGTGTTAAGACAGTGCCACAGTCCAGAAATCTTTTCAAAATGATCATATAAATCTTAGGTTTGACAAAATTTTAGGAACTCTGTACAAAACTTGTGTCAACACAGGAGAAGATGTTTATTTTCACTAAGTGGTGGAAGGAGGTAAAACAAATACAGCTCGTTCCACATAGAAATTATAAAATTTGAAACACTCTTACCTTCATTTGTCCCAATTAGGCTTGATCTTGTAGAAGCAATAATGAAGCAGACAAAATTCTTGTGCATTTTGGAAATGTCTGCTAATAATTTTTTTGTTCTCAGTGGGCAGCCTCTTACCATCTGAAATATGCACCTAAAATAAGCTCTTTAAATATTGGATATTATGAAATAATTTTTTCTGGATTAGGAATATACCCACTTTATGCAATTTCAGATGCTTTTGTGTTTCTCAAAGAGTGACTGGTAATGTCCCTCTTGAGAGACTATAATTTCAGCTAGAATCTGGCAGCAATTAAACTGAATTGCAGTACAGTATGGACCAGCCAGAAAACTTTTAAATAACTCACCTGACCATAATTCCAGCTTCTGGTTTTTATTTCATTGACGTTTCCATGGAAAATCACGCCAACATCATTCAGGACATACTCTTCCCTTTCCTTTTCATCATCCAAAAACACAGAGTCTTCTGCATCAGCGTATACACAATAACAGTTAGTCTGATTATATATGGGGTAGATTTTTGAACTATAAGGCAACTTATTCATTTTAAGCAAAAGTGTTCTTTATTCAAGAAGCATCCTGTTATTTCCACCAAGACAATATAAATAATCATTACCTATGGCAACTACATTTAGAAATAACATGTGCAGCTCTAAAAGCTTGCAATATGGAAAATGCTGACAACTCTTGACTGTTTTTAGCAGGATCCATAAAGCATGATTAAAATGTCATGTCTTATCAAGAATTTCATGATTGCTGTGCATCACTAATTTAAAGTTGGAGCACCATAACACAGTTCTCCATCTGCAAAACAGATCACAGAGCAACAATTTCAACCCTATTAATGTTAATGCAAAACAATTCACTGTTAAGAGATATAAAGAAAACTCTGTAGTGCATAAGAACTTGGAGTTCATGTTTTGCACCATCTTAACTTGGGGGTTTTGATCTTTTTCTGTAAATAAGTTACTGTACATTTGGTTCCCACTTACCATAATTTACCAGTCAATAAAATTAAAAGACATTTAAAATGAAAAAAAGAAATTGTTAAAAAAAAACTTAAAAAAATGTTTAAGATATCTTTTCTAAACTAATTGAAAAGAGATTAATCAGGACAAATAATAAGTTCCTTGAGCCTGCAAATAATAGTTTGCATGCTAGAAACAAAAATAATCTTAATTGAAGTCACTGTGACTACTCTCAGACTTACAGGAATGAATGCAGTAGATTCCCAACCAGTAAAAACTGTGATAGCTCAGTTAAATTCAGAGGCATTATGACATTTGACACCTCCCCCCACCATGTGCAAATGATTGGATGACTGGATGGCTAAGCGGTATCCTGGATCATGTAATGGAATCAGAGTTTAATTTGCACAGCACACAAAGTAGTTAAACCATAGCCACAGCTATCATGTGAAACAGAAATATCACAAGCTCTTACTACAATACCAAGCAGGTGTGCCTTTACTAGGGCTGTGCATATCTTCAGGTGCTGATTTGATTTGAAGGATCTCCGAATCCGAATTGAATCAGGAGACCAATGAAAAGGTCCGAATCAATTCAAAGTTCTCTGAGTTGAGTCGGAAAAGATTTGGAGAGCTTTGGCAATTTGGGCAGTCCCTGCTTGCTGCAGCAGGGAGCTGGACCCAAACTCCATGCTGGTAAGTAGGGGGAGGGGGAGCAGGAGGGGGGGAGGAGACCATGGGGGGACCCCTGCCAGGCCCCATCCTTTGCC